CCCCTAAATTTTCATGTGAAAGCAAGAACTTAGATAGGCACCTTAAATTTGGAGATTATGAGAGGAGAACTGTACCATAAACGATAATATGTTGCTTTGCTTAGATTTTCTTCTGAACTTGGGATGTGTCGATCCATCTTATTATTTTATTTAAAAAGAAAACAAAATGATCTTCGTATAATACACAACACAACCTTACTAGACTCTAAATGGACCGGAAAAATGAGTCTATTTCTTATTTTTAAATGGGTTTTTTAATTAGTCCCTGATAAAATCAAATAAGAGGAGCATGAGCCAGAGTTGGAGGAGCATTGGCACTAGCAGCCGCTGGCTTCCCATCTTTCCGGAGATCACTAACTGCCGTCAAAAGTGTCTTAGAATCATCAATTCTGTTTTGCACAATTAATTGAACAATGCCTCCGACAGTTGTCACCACTAGTTTATGTCTTCTCATCTTCAAGAACTCTTGAGTCTCTTCTTTTAGCTTAATGTGATCTCCATTGTACACTTTCATGTCCTCATACCACACCTCGTTTGGTTTTAACTGCAGGATTGACAAGATCTCTTTGATCAAAATCCGGCATAAACTTATCATGTAGTCTAGTGGTTTGTCCTAGTATTGTCACCGCCCATATTCAAACCCGCATATTACATGTTTTAAGAAAAGGGTTTTGTCTTTGATGCATTTACCTTAGGATAGACTCTTGGACTCTGTACAGCCTCTAAAGGACTCATCTTGAAGATAAAGAGATTGATAAACACTTGGATCACGGCAGGAAATATATAAGGCCCGCCGCTCGCACCAATTACTCCGACCAGCTCTGTGTCCTACAAAAATGAACAAATACTAGTAAGCTTACCTACAATCCTCTGTTTTGACTCTGTTTTTGCTTTGTTTCATTTATAGAAACCCATGCTTTTTGCCCTGTCTTGGTTATGTATCGCTTGAAACAAAACAAAGGATTAGCTTTTCTTGATTTTGCGTTTATTTAAATTACCTTTGTGATGATTAGAGGCATCATGGAAGTCAAAGCCCTCTTCTTTGGCGCGATGTAATTCGCAGGTGCTGGAGGGAGAAGACTAGGAGAGTTCAGGGTTGGTATCGCAAAATCCTCCATCTGGCCGTTCAGTATAACACCGGTTGAAGGCGACATAAACCCTGACCCGAACGCATAGTTCAAAGTTGTTGTCATTGACACTGCGTTTCTATCTTTATCCACCACACAGAAGTGACTTGTCCCTTGATCCTCAAGCTGATTATATCTGTTTAACAACAAAATTTAAACAACATAGATTAGGATAAACCCTAAAAAATTTCGACAAGACCACTTCCTTAAATCAATCACTTACTTGTTGAGGTAATATTCTGGTGGGAATGTCGTGTAATCGGATATTTTATTCTGGATTCTTTCGGCATAAGACTTAGAGAGCAAATTGTTGACAACATTAGATGTTCCATTAACAAACGCAGGATCTCCAAGCTCCATTCGAGCGGCAAGCATATGTTTCATGACTTCTATAAGACGATGCAGACCGAGATTCTCATTAGTATCCTTGACTTTCTTATATCTCTCCAATACATTCATTACCTGTTTGTAAAACATTAAAGCTATTAACATTGCACAATGTTGATATCGAAAAACAAATTCATATACGATCTTCCACATTCCTCACCATTGCAAAACCGGTCGTCCCACACGCCGGAGGCCACATTCCATGTATTTTATACCCCATAACATCATCAACAACCATCGCATCGGACACCTTAACTTCATAACTCCGCAAATCTTCCATCGTCATGATCCCTCCGGCCTCCCTCACATCGCTCACAAGCTTTTCGGCCACATCTTCTTCGTAAAACGTTTTCATCCCTTTCTCGGCCACTATTTCCAAGGTCTCCGCGAGTTTCGGGTTGTAACATATATCCCCCTTCTTCAAGAATTTGTCTCCCTTAGTGAAAACACTCTTCAAACCAATGTCATTCTTTATCATATCCTCGTTTTTGGATATGGCGAAAGCGAGATGCGAACCAACTTCGAAACCATCTCGAGCCAGCTTAATAGCTGGCTCGACCAGTAGTTTCCATTGAACACGCCCGTGTGTCTCCCATGCTTTGTAAAGTCCGGCTATCTCTCCCGGAACTGCTATCGACAGTGGTCCTACTACTCTCTCCGCTTCTCTGTTCTCGAACATATCCTTTTTGTTTTTTGTTTTTTACCAATTCATAAAAATTACAAAGTTTGGTTACAAGTTTATTAATCTTCGTTATAGTCAGATTTATAGCTACTTGTATTTGTATTACCAAGTACTAACAAAGTTCCCTAGTAGTAACTTTTTTGTCTTGTTTTCCTTGATGAATTAGTAAGAATAAGAACCTGTGAAGCAGCCAAAGGAGCGGTTTCTCTCATGTCGTAAGCCGTAGCTACCGAACCGGATGATGAACCGACAACCATTAAGGCTCCCCCGCCGATTCCGCTCGACGATGGATTCATCACACCTAAGCAAAACGCGACAGCTACTGCCGCATCCACTGCGGTGCCTCCTAGTCGTCCTAGCACCTCAGCACCGATCTCCGAACATTTCTCGTGATCGGCCGCCACGACGCCGTTTTCCGACGTCACAACGGACTCTTTGTCATTGCTTTTGGTTTCAGTTTCTTGGCCGGGAAATTGTAGAAAGCCTGCTATTTATAAAAGAACATTTCCGGTTTATGCAAAACGTTAGAAGTTTTCAACCAAGCCAAAACCACACTTTGCAAACCAAACCGAAGAAAACAATAAACCGAATTCATTTACAGTTTTGTTTTTCTCATATCCGAATATGCTGTACCCTGAAACCGCATCAAACTTTGAAAAATATAAATTAAAACCAAACCCTACTTTATATTTTGTTTGG